AAATAGCGAAAAATCCTTTTTTTAATTCAACTGATCAAAAGAAAGACTTGATTCACCGCATATTTCTGGTTAGACGACATTCATTAGTCAGACTAATGCATTTTCAGGTTGGCTGGCGAGTTATTATCAATAATGCCAAGTATTATTAATAATAATACTTATCGAAATTATGTTTATTTTTGCAATTTTTATGCATAAATGGATGAAACTTTGAATGTTATCTGATCATCAGGTATTATAAGGTACGATTGTATGCAGAAACACTCGGTTATAAGCCCGTATGTAATAGGATTTTTGCTGAACCGTGTGAGACGTTTAGTACGCTTTGAGACAAACCCAGAAATTTCGAAACTCCCAATTAACCTAACGAATGGCTCCAGACGTAATAATAGTAATAATAATAATCATCATCAAAACGCAGCGCAGTACTGTCTTGACAAAAATGACTTTCAACATGCGATTATTGGTCAACTGCGAACCCGTACTTCGTAATCTGAAACTAAACTTTTTTTTTCGCTGGGTTCGACGCTCGATTGACGCGGCTCTGAAGGACATTTGAGCGGCGCTCAGTTGGGCGACCGCGCTCAAGTTCCGGCATCAGCGAATGGAAAAAGAAAAAAAATGATACAAATTCATATTTCGATTTTTTAGGTCGATTGCCAGAGCTCGAGCAAGGGCTTGTTCCTCGGACTGCTGTGCCTGGTCGGTGGGATCGTGGTGCTCATCATCTTCTACGTGATGAAGGAGCATGTGGACGACAAAGAGCAGTTGTACATGATGTACGGCGTGACTCAGGTGACGATCGTGGCACTGGGCGCCGTGGCGGCCTTTTTGGGTCTCTTCCAGCTGCCGAGACTCGCCTTGTCCGGCAAGAAACCCATGGACTTGGACCGCCTTCTCGCGTCGACAGTCGTCATCGGTGTCTACGTTTTCGCCATTTTCGGTGTCATCGTCGGGCTGAGCAACATCGACGACTTGTCGCATTCCTTGCTCGTCGGTCTGCAGGGAGCTCAAATTCTCCAGGTGACTCAGTTCATGATAGCCCTTGGAATTTTCACTTCTATATTTTTAGAACAGGCTCGGATCCGAAAAAAA